ATACTTGGTCACAAATAACCAAATACTTGGTCTCATACCATTGACACTACCTGAAAACACGAGTTGCCAGCAGCAATCAGACCAATAGTCAGGTTACAAAAGCAAAAATATCTTATATCTTAAAGGAATGACTATAACAAGGAGAAGTATCTATCGAGGATAACTAAATTTTGAAAGATTTTATTAAAATTTCAATTGGGAACATCTAAATTTTAATAAATTTCATTAAAATTCATTAAAATCTGAATTGGAGACACCTAAAAATTCATCACAATTTTAATTGAGAACCCCCCCCACCCACCCACCCACCCAAAAAACCGAAGGATGTCAATCAAAATTATAAGATGGAAATTTCATTTACCCATTTTTCAAGGTAATTTATTAGTAACATTTCACAGTGTTAATATAAAGAATTAATTTTGACACTGGACTGCGAAAATTAAGATGTATAGCCTCTCAATCGAGAATTAGTTCGTAATATGATCCGTTTAAGTTATTGAACTAGATTTGTTACGTCGTGTTTGATCAATTGAATAAAACACGATTAAAAAAGAGAGATACATAAAATGTTGGACTATGCTACTTGTACATAATTTTTTGTACATAAGAGTGTCCACCCTCTCACATGGGATGGACCCCGCATGATTAAAAAAAGAATTTTATTCGTGTGGGGTCCACCCCATGTGAGAGGGTGGACACCCTTGTGTACAAGAAATTATGTACAAGTAGCTTTATCCTAAAATGTTTATATATTATGACGACTACTCTTTTTTTTTTTTTTAATTTAACTTTTTAAACGCGCATGAATTGAAACCACATAATGCAATATATACAAATCTATATCATTGCAAACACCCAGAGTCAAAGATAACATGGGTGTGATGATTTTCTTTTCTTCTCCATTAACAAATTTAGATGATTTCTAATAATGCACAATTATATCAAACTGGTGTGGTGGTACACTATGTCAAATTCTTGCACTCAATGGCATCTCTCCAAACGAAAAGCAGAAACAGGTAAACATTCTTAACTGTAAATAAAGGAAAAAGTTGGCAACTTTTGGATAAGGAAAATGAAAACAGAATCTACAGCCTGATATAAACAAAAATCATCAATTTTCTTTCAACTTACAAGCATAAGCAAGAACAAAACAAATCTTATAAGATCGAGGACATGTACGATAAAGTGGACTGAATGCTACTTGACAATATTAAATAATAAAAAAAAGTTGAATTTTTATTCATTGTAGTGTCCAGTATCATCGCGAGACTAGACTGGAGTCGACAATTAACAAAAATTTAACTTTTTTTTCCCTTAATAGTGTCGACCGGGGCAGCCCACCTTAACAAGAAAGGGAAATTATACTTTGCCAGTGCTAGAAATTGGTGCAGCTCTCTTGATGCTGTCCATATGGGTTGTTTCATAAACAGGCGGATCACTTGAGTAAAATTCCAACTCATGATTTGGTAAATCAAAAAGGTCTGAACTTGAATCACTATCTGCTCCATCATCAACGTCACTGAATTTTCTGAATTCATTTTCTTCTGATGGATACTTATCTGCCCAGTTTTTCTCTGAATATCCATTGCTGAGCTTGAATTTCTCATCCAACCATGAAGAAGAAGAATCACTTTTGACATTTCCATTAAATTTTTGCACAGAAATAATTTGCTTATAATCTGAAAAGTTTCTGATTTCTTTATAAGATTTTGTGGGAGTATTTGCATGAGGAGGAGGTGTTCTAAAACCTGAACTTGAAGATGAGTAAAAGGACTTAGAATCTGTAGTACTGCTTGCTGTTCTAAAATGGCTAATGCTACTTCTTCTTTTCCTTCTTCCACCAGGACTTTCTTCTTCATCCTTCATCGTTTTTGCCCCGGTTTTCGATTTCTTCTTCTTTACTGAAGCCTGATTGAATAGGGAATTCAAGAAATGAGCAAGTCTACCACCTGGAGAGCTAGGCTGCTTGTTTTTCTTCTCTTTCAAGGTTTGCTTTTCCATTGCATAAGTTTGTGATGGAATTGAACTTCTTGTGATAGGCATGTCTAGGCTCATTCGAGCAGTTCGGGGGACAGACACCTTTTGCGCAAAAGTTGCGCCGCCACTGGCCGGAACTTCATCGGTGCTACCACCGGAAAAATATCGGGCTGCCTCGAAAACATCGAGCTCTTCAGAGTCATTCCTCCGGTGGAATGGTTTGTTGTACAATTTGTTAGGGTGATCTGAGAGTTCTGCGAAAGACATGGTTAGAGGTACAAGTGATCAAGAATTGAATTGTTTGGAATCAAGAATAAAATGGTTTGTTTTCTGAGATTGTAGAGAGAATGAGGAATATATTTTGAAATGACTTGAGAATAATGGTAGATAGTGTTCATTTTATAGTAATCAAGAATACTATAAAGTACATATGATTAAGGTTATATTTACTCTTTTTTAATTTCCTCTCATTTTGGTTATTCTTTTTTGTTCTTTTCTTTTCTTTTCTTTGCTTGGAAGAACCCCACATATTCCCATTTTTTTTTGCTTTTAATACTTGTACTTTAATGATACGTTCGACATGGTAGAACTAGACACACAATTAAGGAGAAATTTTATACCATTTCGGTTCTCTCTTCCACTACGTTAATGGCCACTTTCTTAGGTGCATAAAGTCGTCTTGAGAGGTAATCAAGAGTTTAATCTCATATGGTGATCCAACTTGTGGGCCACTACTTACATCTGACTTCAAGATATGATTCATTTTTAACATATACATGACTAACTTTGGTGTAAAATAGTGATATATGTTAAGATTCGAAGTTTCATCTTAAAATGTCAGCATTAATAAAAGTAGCAGCTCAAATTCTTATAAATTGGTCTATGTTTCATCTTTTATTCGATGTGAAATTTTATCCTTTAACATGCCCCACAAGATTGTAGCTCATTTGAGCAAACCAATTTTGAAATCTGTGTGCTCAATTTATTTTGAGTCTTAATCTAATTGAATTGTTCGTTGGAGTTTAATGGGATTTGATACCATGTTAAGATTCGGAGTTCCATCTTAAAATGTCAACCTTAATAAGAAGAATAGTATAAACCCTTGTAAATTGATCTATGTTTTCATTTTTTATTTGATGTGGGATTTTATCCCTTAACAGTATAACTTGTTAGGACTCGGAGTTCCATCAATTAACCTATTAAATAGAGCAATTCAATCCACTTATAAATTAAAAATTATCTCCACATTTAATCGATTTTGGTTCACACATTCTCAGCTTTATTAAATATATAATAGGTGGGGTAGAAGGAAATTAACAGGCCTTTATAGCCCTCCCAAGTTTTGATATCCAAAGGTGGTCTCTTGTTGTGTGTTGTGGGTAGCAAAGAAGCTGATTTTTCCTCATTGGATGCTCAATTTAGACACTGTTTTAATTTGGTGGGGGAGTAGCTTTAAATAGTGTTGGCATAAGTTTGTACCATGATCTTTTCCTTTATAATAATATGTATGAGATTGTGGATGAAAAAGAAAATATTGACTGATCTTCCTTTAATTACGAGCCTTTAAGTTTATTGTTATCTTTAATTTTGTTTTCTGGGACTTTTTGGTTAATGTAAGAATATCGTTTTCTACAAAGGACTTAGTATATCATTAGTTAAGATGAAAGGAAAATTGTCGAATAAAATCGATACAAAACTTCTGATTTTTCTGATTTTCAAAATTTTGTCACTCGAAAATCGTGTCAATACTTTTATATAACTAGTGTTGGCTCGGCTGCTCGGCGAGTGAAAAGTCTGCTCGTGGGCAACACGAGCCTAAGCACGAGCCGAGTAGGTGGCTTGCCCACGAGCTAGCGGCTCGTGGGCTCATCTAAAGCGGAGAGTTTATCCTTTTTGTTTTTGGAAAAAAAAAGTTTATCTTTATAAAAAAATGACGAGCTCGCGACCCGAAACTCGGTTTGGCCCACGAGCTTGGCTCGACCCACGAGTAACGAGCCCAACAAAAGCACGGCTTGCTATAAACGAGCCACGAGCCGAGCTCGGCTCGTGACTGGTACGAGCTGAGGCTCAGCCCATTGGCACCTCTACATATGACATATATATAAGAGAGAATACTCGAGAAAATGAGGCACCTAATGCTTGGCTAATATTCCTATTTAAAAGTTGTTGGATAAAATATATATTAAAATATGATCTTTTAGATTTATTACAGCAGTTTAATTTTCAAGTGGCACATCAATAGAGAGAAGGGAATTAGGTGGTGTTGGGGCAAACAAGTCCCACATCGGTTGTGGGAAGAAAATAAATCCACCATATAACGTAAGTGGGTTACTCCACCCATTACCAATTGGTTTTGGGATGGAGCCTCACTTGGGCCTGGTGGTGTGGGCTTGGACCTTGGGTAATTGCTCTTAANATATATAAGAGAGAATACTCGAGAAAATGAGGCACCTAATGCTTGGCTAATATTCCTATTTAAAAGTTGTTGGATAAAATATATATTAAAATATGATCTTTTAGATTTATTACAGCAGTTTAATTATCAAGTGGCACATCAATAGAGAGAAGGGAATTAGGTGGCAAGATTGTTTAGCTGGGTTGGGAGGTAAGGGCATGTCGAAACTTTTTTATAATTGAACAGGTTTGCCGATGCTTGCTTAAGGTTTACTTTGTCTGGATATAATGGGAGTGGCTTATTTGAGGAAGTGAATTTGTAGATCGAGGTATGGGTAGCGATGTCTTTTGAGGTTTTACTTTTTATTTGGATGGTCTTTATAATACTGTAACTACGGTTTTCCTTTGTCATAAGCGAGGGTTTTATTAATGTTTGGGGGTGCCGTCCTCCTTCAATTAAAAAAAGAAAGAAAAAGGAAAAAGAAAAGGTTTTGGAAATTGTATATTGATCACATGGTCAAGATGATGCTATAATGAATGAGAAACTATAGTTAAGAGGTTTATTTCGTTGGTATAGAAGCTTAGTGCTCGGCTTGCTGCTTGTAATGTCGATGTATCGTGGAAGACAAACGCTCTATAAAGCACTGTATAAGGGCGAATCTATTTTAAGGACAGTTTGTATTACACGTGTCTTGATTTGCAATTTTGTCTCAGTAAATTTATTATTATGATAGTTTAGCTTCGCAATTCTATAACCTATTTTATAATAATTTCCTTTTTTGTTCTCCGTTTATTAAGTATATTATTTTATATTAGCATCCACCTGAGCGACATGTCGAATCGTTTAAGGTTTTCAAATGAGGTGGTTTATGAACGTCAAATTGTCAAAATTGAAAATATTGATAATGCATTTTATTAAACCCCATTTTTGGGTTAATAGATTTTGAAATAGTGAATTTATAAAAATTGTAGTTAAAAGTAGAAAAAAATTTTGAATTTACGTAAAATTATTTTATTTGAAGAATTAACGGTGAAAATGAATTTTAAAAAAATGAGTTTTTGAATAATGAGATCAAACTGGAGCTAAGTATCTGAATGTTGAATGGACAGAAACGGAACCTATCGATGAAAAATAAATTGGCGTCCATACTTCTAAAAATTCTTCAGTGAGATTTTCCATTCGTGAGTCGCCAATGATATGAATAACATCGAATCATTTGTTACAAAAATTCCTTGGTCATAATTTTTGAGTGATGGTTGAA